CTGTACCTGTGTAGTGACAATAAAGTTGAATTTAATCTAATCTAATCTAATCTAATCTATTACTAAATCCACTGAGAATAGAATGTCTTTGTACAGAGAGCTAGCTCCTGCCTGATACATTTTAAAGGGAGGGAAGAATATTGAATTTCATCTACCGATTTATCAGGCTGTTAGCCTGGGTGCCAGTCAGAACTTAGCCCCGCCCACAAGGTTTGAGTTCGGGGAAGTTCGGTCTGGCTCTGCTCCATAGTAGCGCGAGTATTAAAGCCCACTGTCAGGCGATCCAATCAAATTGTCAGGGCGGACTTTATACGATGATGGACAGATGATCAAGAGTAACGTAATCAACCACGTGACCAAAGCGCGCTAGGGTGACAACAATAATGGCTGCCGCTGGAGAGTTTGGGTGAGTAGATTCTGCTATTAGGTCTGTTCTAGAAGATATCGACAGCAAATTAATTTTAAAAGAGGAACAGAGAAACGCGAAACTGCACGCTTTGATTTTTGTGGACAACAACTATGCCTCGCTTAACATACGTCACGCACTCCGTTGCTCTTATTGGTTGTAGGTCTATCCAATTGAGTGCAGAGGCATTTTTTTTCCTGGTTCGTTCGAAACACGCCCCATAATCACAGCTCTATGGAGCAGTATCAGACTCATATTCTGACTAGAATTGAGTCGGACTACGTCAGGCTATCAGGCTGTTAGACTAATAACAAATAAGGAGAACATCTCAGAGCAATACAGAGTGGCAGGATGAAGCTTCATTATATCATTATTTTAGTATATCAAACCTTTTATCACCTAGTTAATAAATAGCTGTTGGTGTCTTGAAAAGTAATGGGGTAAGTGCAGTAAAGACCACATTCTGCCAGCATAGAAGCAAGTGCAGTGGAGACAACAAAAGCTGTTTAAAAATGTAAACATATTTTTCTTACTTAGTTTAATAAGTCAAATTTTACTGACTTACAATGACAATCTATGAGGTACTTTAACATTTAATTTCCATATATGTTTAATAAAGTGTTTTTGATTGAATTGGATCTAGGTAATCTTACACCCTTTTTGACATGAAAACTGGCTCAGAGCTTGTCTGCTTAATTTTTTCTTTCCACCCATGGAGCTACTTTACCTTTAGCTTCTATAACCATGAAATATTTCATGTATCAGTGCTTCTATTCTACTCTGCTCAAAAAATTAAAGGAAGACTTTGAAAACACATCAGATCTCAACGGGGGAAAAAATTATGCTGTTTATTTATACTGCTATGGACTGGGTGATGTGTTAGGAACAAAAGGATGCCACATCATTTGATGGAAATGAAAATTATCAACCTAACCTGAATTCAAAGACACCCCAACAATTACAGTGAAAAATTATGCAGCAGGCTAAGCCATTTCAAGAGTGGTTACAGCAGATCCCTGGGAATACATCCGACGTCTCGGTCCAGAAGCAGTTCTAGGAACAGCAGAGATACTGCACAGAACCCTCAAGATCCCAGGCCTCTGTTAGAGAGGAAAAAAAGGGGGAAGACCTTTGGAGACGGGTATATACATATATATACTGTTTATCAAGCAGATCATTACAGCAGAAGCTTAACTGTCTCACTTGTAAAAGTAAGTCTAAATGGCTATTACATGATACTGATTGATTGATTAATTGATTGATTTATTGATTGATTGAATTCTTGACATTTTACAATACATCTTGTATAAACTGCTGAAGATGACAGGTTTAAATAAATAAGATAAAAACACACCTAAGCAGCTAAATGAATACTTCCCCACTGTTGCTAGCTGAAATGTCTTGCACTCAGGACCAAAGGTCTACTAAATATCATTCAAGAGTTTAGTGTTCCCAACCCCCATACATAAATAAGTGGTCATCTGTGTTCTAGATTTCTAAACACATTTTGGTTTTAATTAAAACTATTAAATTGCATCTTTTCTATGTTTAATTTTTGGGTCCTTTAAACCAGATTTTATAATAACATTTGATTTAATAGCTACAGCTATGACATTAAAAGCTTAGTTAAATGTATACAATAATGGAATATAAACAAAAAGTTTCAATTTCAATTTCAAATTGCTTACAAAAGGTTTCAGCACATCAGCAGATAATGCTGACAAACTGAAACTGACAATCATTGACAAACTGAACCTTACGAACCCACATGCAGAATCAGGCACGGACACCAAATGAAAGGAGGTTTTATTGTAAACTCAGCCAAACTTGATGGGGAAGGACTGTGAGTCACTGGGGAGACACAGCCAGAGGCTGTGCATGTGGCTGGAGGCGCACGCTGTAGGAGGAGGCAATCGTCTGAGAGTTGTCACAGAGGTGGTGGAGAGCAGGCAGGCAGACTGAACCTAAGCTGCAGATTGGAGCAGCTCACGGAGTTTGATGCTGAAGGAATCAGTCCAGGAGGGCTTCATTTGAACTGGGAATCCAGATAGAAAAGAGATGAGCAATTAGGAACTTTTCACTGGGAATCAGACAGAACTTTCTCGTGGGGAATAAAACGTTGGCTAGATTGGTACCAGAGTATGGGACCATCAGGTAATGGCTGCAGCTCCTTAAATCCCTGACAGGTAGATGGGTTGATGGATCTCAGGTGCTCAGACAGCCGGCCACGCCCACCTGCAGCGCTCCAGAAAAAATAGAAAAACACTCCACACAAGGGTTCTGACACTAACACTGACTGCCAACTCTTTGCAAGAGTTTACAAGGGCCCATTAATATTATTGTCTAGTCAAGTTACCTAATTCTAGTTCTACCAGGTGAACATAACTAGAAAGACGATAGGCTTCAATAATGCTTAATTTATCAGATCCAAGCAATACAACACTTGATTACTGCTTTGGCTGTTGTTAAGTGCAGAATTTGTAAAACAGCTACCAGTTATGTTGTCAACCCAGGGTGGGAGGAAAGGAAATGATAAAATGAGAGGGGAAAAGGGTAGGAAGTAAAGGAGGTAGGGAGTGAGATGTGAGGCATCAGGCTGCAGTATGTCTAGACAGTATTCATGATCCATCTGTCTGCCACCGCCGCAGCAACAGCCAGCAGCAGCAACAGCATGATGGCCAACTCCATTACTGCACAAACATTTGCTACATTTGTATAATTTTCCTTCCTCTCATTTTCTACTCATCTCCTTTCTTTCTCTCTATCCACCTCTGCCCAAGTGTCAAGCTTCTTCTCCCTCCCTTGTCTCTTTTTACCTTTCCTCTCCTTGTGATTCTGTCTGCAATCCTTTCAATACCCCGTCAGCCTTTTTCAGCAATAATTCTCATTTCCCCTTTTTCTCTTCTTCCAGATATCCCTATCTCCCTCAGGTCTCTTAGGCATCACAAAAAATGTGAACCAGCTCACAATATTCTAACGCTATATGGCTTTTCCCTCAGTAGACACATTAGCATCAAGCCTAGACACCCAAATACTGTATTTAAGGACATATCTCAAGGTTGTATTCATTGGGAATGACCCCTAGATCCCCCAACTGCCCTCTAATACCCCATTCACCACCCACAAACAGGAACAACAAAAAAGTTAGAGCAGGTAGGGGCGAGTGGTGGCTAGTGGTTGGGGCATAGAGCTTGGAATCTTGAGGTTTTGAGTTCCTGTGAGACCCAGTCCCACAGACTGCCCCTCTGGGTACCTGAGCAAAGACCCTTAACCCCACACCGCTCTCCCAGTGTGCAAACGGCAGTCCACTGCTCCCCAAGGGGATGGGTTAAATGTAGTGTTCACTTCATTGCTCTGTACTTGTGACAGTGTGGCAATAAATTTCTGCTCCTTGTGGGATGGCAGAAAGAAAGAAAGAAATGAAAATTATCAACCAAGAAAGAAAATTATCAACAAAGAAAGAAAGAAAGAAAGAAAGAAAGAAAGAAAGAAAGAAAGAAAGAAAGAAAGAAAGAAAGAAAGAAAGAAAGAAAGAAAGAAAGAAAGAAAGAAAGAAAGAAAGAAAGAAAGAAAGAAAGAAATGAACTCACAAAACAAGATTGGAGAGGCGGAAAGCATTTAAGGTAGGAGAGGTGGAGAGAAGTGAGTGAGTTAGGGCAAGATAAGAGACAGAGATGAAGGAGAAGGTAAAGGAGCCTGCAGACACACACACACCGCACTCTCTGGATGAAAGTGCTGCTGTGAAAAGTTGTCTCTCTCTTCCTAAAAGTTGTTGAAAGCAACCACTGCAGAACATCAAAGCGGTCTGGCAAACAGCCATCGAAGCCCAGTGGTGTCCTTCACCCTCTCGTTCTCTGCCTCTCTTTGCATCTTTTCTTTTAACGCCCCCCCCTTTTCCTCTTTGTTCCCAATGATCATGATGAGTTGATGGAATATGCTTGCTTAAAAGGATCGTTAACACACAATCTGTGACATGTTCTCACAGTGAAGCAACTGATCTGACTCTTTCTTCAGAAATAGCTCCAAGTTTCGAAATGTTGAACGGGCGTAATAGTTAAGGGTCGACAGTGGCGTTGGATGTAGGAGTTTGCCCTGAAATCGAAGGGTTGACGGTTCAAGCCCCGTCTCCGACTTTCATTGTCGTTGTGTCCTTGGGCAAGACACTTCACCTGCATTGTCTACTGATGGTGGTCAGAGGGCCCGGTGGCGCCAGTGTACGGCAGCCTCGCTTCTGTCAGTGAGCCCCAGGGCAGCTGTGGCTACAATGTAGCTTGCTACCATCAGTGTGTGAGTGTGTGCGTGAATGGGTGAATGAATGTGGTGTAAAGCGCTTTGGTCAAGTCTCCTAACTTGAATAAAGGCGCTATATAAGTACATGCCATTTACCATTTACCAAGGGTCATGGAGGTTTTGTTGGTTTTGTTGGTTGGTTTCATGGCGGACATTAAATATAGGTGAAAGTACAAATTCAAGATGTCATCAAATGTGCTACAATTGGGAGTGCTCCAAAGCAGCGGCCAAGAACAGCACCTCTCGACAATTTTACAAAATATGCCGTTTAAAACGACACAAACTGTCGTATCTCCTATTTTTAAGGAAATAAATCAGCGCGGACCAACTGTGTCTTGACGTTACTCCATAACTTTATTGAACAACCAACTTCCCAGACGTAAGGCGTCACACACCCCCGTGATCCCACATACACAATCCTATTGGTCTACAGTACTCCCTGTACGTAACTTGCGTAAAGCATTAACCCTTGCTGTACTGTATTCAGATACACCACATCTCCCCCCATATTTTTTTTTGCTTTTTTGTTTTTTTTTAAAGTCCATCTAAACCTGAGGAAGAAAGCAAGGTTAAACAAAACCTGTTAAACAAACACTTCTGATTCTCTGACTATAACTGTCTTAACTTCTTAAATTCTATTTCCCGAATACAACATTTTCAAACTTCTTTTTTTTTTTTTTTTTGTACACTTTTCCTCTGGAACCGGTACATTATAAAACAACATTTCCTGCACATTATGAACATTAACACCATCTCTCTCTTTTTTTTTTTCTCTCTCTTACTCATAAGTTCAGTCTAGTGGGCTGTTTAATCACCCTTCCAGACCTGGTTCTGGGAGTAGAATCTCCCGGAGAAGGCACTGGAGACCCCAAAACAGGTGGTGCATGATCCTGCTCTAGGACCGGCAGTGGCTCCTGTTGCTGCTGTCCACCCTCATCCTGTGCTGGCGACTGGAGTGGTATAAGATGCATGCGGTTTCGTCTTACCTCCCCATGCGGTGTGTCCACAAGGTAAGATCTCGGCGAGGTGTGCCTCTGGATTACTGTCCCAGATGTTTTTGAGTCAGTCATCCACACCTCCTGACCTGGTGACAGGCCACTAAGTGGCTTCGCACAATGACGCCTGTTGAAGTTTGCAGCATCTGACATCCTCTTCTCCCTTTCTTTCTGAAACAGCAAGCTGCGGTCAGGCAGCGCAGGTTGTAGCTCAGATGGATGTGTCGGCACTGTGGTGCGGAGACGTCGACCCATGAGCAACTGTGCCGGGCTGTATCCATTTTGAAGAGGAGTGGCTCTATATGCAAGAAGAGCCATGTACGGGTCGGATGCTTTCTTCAAAAGATTTTTCATGGTCTGTACAGCTCGCTCAGCCTCGCCATTGCTACGTGGGAATTTGGGGCTACTGGTAAGGTGTTTGAACCCATATGCTGTGGCGAAGGAAGTGAACGCCTGGCCGGAAAATTGAGGCCCATTGTCAGACATGAGACTCTCTGGGATGCCGTGCCTGGCAAACATTGACTTGAGATGGTTAATCACATCCTTGGATTTTGTGTGTGTCAACAGGGCGAGTTCGACATATCTGGAGAAGTAGTCAACGACGAGGAGATAGATCTTCCCCCCTAGCTCAAAGAGGTCGGCCCCGAGCTTTTGCCACGGGCGCTCAGGGCAGTCTGACGGCATGAGCGGCTCACTGTGATTACGGCGCTCTTGCAGACACGTTCTACATCTGAGCACCATCTCCGTGATTTGTTGTCCGAGCCCGGGCCACCACACGGTCTGACGGGCACGTGCTTTGCACTTCACAACCCCTTGATGACCCTCGTGCAGCCTGTCCAGCACGTCGTTCCGCATTGCTGCTGGAATAACCAGACGCGTGTCCTTCAGCAACAATCCATCTTGTACAGTGAGTGTGGCCTGTTCAGGCCAGAAGTGTTTTAGGAGCGGTTCCTGCTTTGCGTGCTCTGGCCATCCGTCTGCACACATTTTCATGACGCGAGAGCACACACTGTCAGCCTCCAGCTGTGTCCTTAGTGTGTCCATAAACGTGGGACTGACCGGCAAATTATTGACAATGCAGTCCACATAAATGTTCGTGCTCTCCATTAGTTCGGTGTCATCTGCGGTCATCTGTTCCTGATTTGGTGACTGTGACAACGTGTCGGCAGTCCAGAGCGATTTCCCTGGAACATGCATGATGTCGTAAGAGTAGCATTGAGCCTCATTCGAAAACGCTGTATCCTTGGTGGCAACAGGTCGAGCGCTTGTGCGCCCAGTAAGGAAAGGAGTGGTTTATGGTCAGTCTCTAGACAGAAGTGCTTTCCTAACAGGAAGTCCCGGAAGCGCTCACATGCCCAGGTTAGACCCAGGGCCTCCTTTTCGACCTGCGCGTAGCGTTGCTCTGTGGGTGAAAGTGAGCGGGATGCGTAAGCCACCGGCCTCCACTCACTGTCCCATTTCTGGAGGAGCACACCCCCCAGTCCGTACGATGAGGCGTCTGCCGATACTTTGGTGTCCCTGCTCGTGTCATACATGGCTAGGACCGGTGGAGAGGTCAGTGCCTCTTTCAGCACCCTGAAAGCCGCCGCCTGGTCCACACCCCACAGCCAGCAGTTTTTCTTTGAGAGGAGGTCGCGGAGAGCTTTGTCTTTCTCTGCCAGTTGGGGTATGAATTTCCCCACCTGGTTCACCATTCCCAGGAAGCTCCTCAACTCGCTCACGTTCGTAGGCTCTTTCATGTCCCTGATCGCCTTTATCTTCTCTGGATCAGGCCTGATACCTGACGCGGTGATGACATGCCCGAGGAAGACCACCTCACTCCTGGAGAGCTCACACTTGTCTGTATTTAAAGTTACCCCTACTTGCTCGAGCTTTCTCAGTAGGGCATGTAGACGAACGTCGTGCTGATCTTGGTCTTTTCCACATACCAGCAGGTCATCGATGTGGCAGACTACCCCATCCAGTCCTTCTATGACCTCAGCCATAACACGCTGGAAGTGCTCAGGCGCAGAGTTAATCCCAAATGGAAGACGCTGGAAATGGTACCGTCCGAAAGGTGTTATAAATGTTGTGAGCTTCGCTGACTCCTCTGCTAAGGGAATCTGCCAGAAACCCATGTTCGCGTCTAGCTTACTGAAGACCCTGGCTCCAGCTAGCATCCCTAAGCTCTGTTCGACTGATGGTAGGACGTACTTCTCGCGGCACACATACTGGTTCAAACCTGTGAAGTCCACACACAGGCGTAGTCGCTGGCTGTTCTTCTTTGGGACAACGACGATGCCAGCGCACCAATCTGTAGGCTCTTCAACGCGCCTGATGACCCCCATCTCTTCCATTCGCTGGAGCTCCTCCTTCACCTTTCCCATCAGTGGCAGAGGGATTCTTCGTGGTGTCTTTAGAGAAAATGGTATAGCGTTAGGCTTGAGCTTGATATGGTAAGGTCGTTGAATGTCGCCTAGACCCTTGCAAAGTTTTGGGTAGGTTGTCTTTAAAGAGTCCATAGTGACACTGTTGACTCTAATAAGTAAGTCCAGGGCAATGATGGCAGGTAACCCAAGCAAAGGTGTGCCCAGGTTTTTGACCACATAAACCTTCTCCTCCGTCTGCTTAGCTTTATATGTCAGCTGCAGCTTTGTATAGCCCACTACCTCTAACTGTGTCTTTCCTGGACCCAGCAAGGGTTTCTCTGGCTCATGGAGAACAGGCCTTTGTGCCCCTGTGTACAAGTCTTTCAGGTCATTTTCAGAAATCGCAGTTACATCTGCGCCAGTGTCAATTTTGAACTTCAGCCGTTTCCCTTTTATCTCGACATCCACCTCCCACTTATTGTTTTTGCATGTCACAGAACCCAGGAAGAAACTTTTCCTATCTTCTTCCTCAATGCACGCTACTACAGCCTTGTTTCTGCAGACACGCTGGTAGTGGCCTTTTTTTCCGCAGCCCCGACATTTTGCCTCGTTGGCGGGGCATTCCGCTCTGGTGTGAGAGGGACCTCCACATTTGAAACACCGGGCGCTGGGCTGCATGTCCTTGTCTCTGCCTTACGAGCGTTGGCGTGCACGGGCACCACTGCTTTTCGAGTATACATACTTCTGTCCCTTCTTTATCAGTCTGTCTATGGAGCTGCCCTCCATCTGCATCACGCTGCTAGCGTCACTTCTAAGTGTGCTCTGTTGCTTTTTTACTTCTTCCGACTGTCTTGCCATATCTATGGCTTTTTGCAGAGTCAGATTCCCCTCCATCTGCAGTCGTTCGGAAAGTCTGGTGTCTGCAAGCCCCACTACGATCCTATCCCGTATGAGTTCATCATGCAAGTCCCCGTATTTACAGTGCTCAGCTAGAGCATGCAGAGCAGTAACAAATGCTTCGACAGTCTCATTTGGCTCCTGTTTTCGCATATTGAAGCATGCGCGTTCAAACACAATGTTCTTTTTCACAACAAAGAAATCCCCGAATCCATTCTTTACCTTGTCGTACTCTTTCTTGTCAGCATCACTTAGCTTCAGTCCTCTCAATACATCGTCGGCTTCATCCCCCATACAATATATCAGAGTGTTAATCTGTTGCTCCTCGGAGTTCGTGGCCAAGTTGCTTGCTTGCCGAAATCTCTCAAACCTCCGGATCCATTTTGTCCACTCGAGCGGTTTATTGAAATCGAAGGGCTCCGGTGGCTGGATGTTAAATGTAGCAGTCGGTGCGTTAGCCGCCATGCTCGCTTCCGTTTGCTGCACGTCAACGTTTTCCTCCCGTTGTTCGGTCATAACATCCACCAAAGTCTCTCCTTCCGTCTCTGTCGCCGTGGACCGGGTTCACTTTCAGTTTTTCTTTTCCGTCATAAACACAGCACTTCTGACACCATGTCGTATCTCCTATTTTTAAGGAAATAAATCAGCGCGGACCAACTGTGTCTTGACGTTACTCCATAACTTTATTGAACAACCAACTTCCCAGACGTAAGGCGTCACACACCCCCGTGATCCCACATACACAATCCTATTGGTCTACAGTACTCCCAGTACGTAACTTGCGTAAAGCATTAAACCTTGCTGTACTGTATTCAGATACACCACACAAACTAGACATCAAATCCGCAACTATGATTTCCAACGTTGGCTGGAGCAACGGTCACAAAATGTACAGACCTCTTTTGACTGTTTATAAGCAGACATCCCAAGTCTCCCGGAAGTTCCGGGAGTCTTCCTGTTATAGATAGTTGTTCACGGATGCCAGCGAGTCGGATAGATTATCCCGGATTTTAGACAATGCAAAGTGGTGTTTTTTTGGGGGGGGGTTTTGACGCGAGTGAAAGCGAACAGGCAGTACAATAATTTGTGCATCACGTGGGGATTAGAACTTTGATTGCGCAGACAGCAAGAGAGGGCGGGGTGTGAGGAGATTTCTTTTGAAACCTGTGCAGCTTATCTGTCCATAGCGATGCTTTGTTCAACCAGCGTTCCTGGCGACTGGTTGTCAGAGAGCTGATTGGATCAGTCCTATAAGTTTCGGTTTACTGTCTTGTATTTATCTAGTTACCACTCTAAGCTGTCCATCCTGTGAAAACGGCACAGGTTGAATCCTCGAGTAAAAAATGAAAATATAGGACTAATTTTACAGCAGAATATACTAAAGTATATCCGCGTCTAGTGAAGGTGAGAAACAGTGGCGGATCTAGACCCCTGTACCAGGGGGCCAGGAGGGGGGAGCAGCATGTTTTCATGGGGGCCCAGAAAAGCATTAAATAAAAAACACGGCAAGGGAAAAGAAATTTCACTTCATGCAGCTCTGTTAATATATTTGCTATATTAAGAGAGGTGCATGAAGTGAATTTTTTTTTTTAATTAGGTTCAATAAAAATTCTATTACTTATTGCCATGTTTGGCTTGACGTGTTTGGCCCACATGCAGAATACACTCGGAAACAGGCAGATCTTTTAAAGTTTTATTGAAAGCCTAACCAAGGGGAATCTGCAACAGCAGACCTGAGCTTAGCAAAGAGAGCCGGAGCCTGGGAACGTCTAAGGGAATGAGAAGGGCGGTTAACCACGGACGGAGCAGAAAGGAATATACAGCTGGACGAACGCTTACCTCAGAGCGGGGAAAGCCGAACCGGGGAGGAGGCGGGTAGGACTCTATGCTTGCCTGAAGGTGGAGAAGGCGATCGTCCAGGTGACCAGAGAGCTGAAGCCAGAGAGGGTCCGAACAGCACAGGGAAAATCCAGGGATCCAGAACAGCGGAAGGAACCTGGTGGATGTCCGTGAGGGTGATGGGTCCAGAGGGGGGAACCGACTCGGAAGGAACCGGGGGAACCACTCAGAGGAATCCACCA